TAATTGTTGGTTTAAAAAAAATGCACTTATATTTCTTATCAGTTATTAAAACATTTATTCATAGATGCAATAAAAAAAATTACACATATTAGAGAAGATTAAAACACCATTGTTTTGTAATATTTGATTTAAACTGAAATAGGAAAAATATGGCTTATAGATGTAACTTTGGCACATAAGTACAACTAAATTTAATTATCATAACCAACACAATATATCAATTTTATCCATTTGTATGGATTTATCTATTGTGTCATTGCTCAAGCGAAAAAGAAAAAAAAAGAAAAAAAAAGAAAAAAAGAAAAAGAATATTTCAAAGATTGCAATAATGTAAGGGATGAAAAAATATTTTTAAAGATAAGAATATTATCTTAAGTCATTGAAGTCCTATCGATAATTGTATAATGATCGATTGGATTTTGCCATTGCAGTTATACTGTCTTATTAGATCAAATTAGAAAAAATAATTATGAATTTTTGATAATTCAATATTACAGTGAGAATCTTAGGATTACTTAAGAGATTAGAACACTAAATATTTATCTAGGATAATATCTTCGAATTATATCAAAATTATTTTATCGTTATTTTTTCTTAAATATTTTGTATTAATGTTGATAGAAAATCTTTCATAAAGCATGATTTTATAATACGTGTAATAAAAACACTGTAAACGTACCTAATTCATTCTTTTAGCATCCTAATATTTCAAAAATTTTATCATAAAAATAAAAAACCATTCCTGTAAATTATTTTCTACTTGGACTGTAATACTGATAAAAATAAAATGAGATAAACAAAACTAAAAAATGGAATGGTGCAACATTACAAAGATTACAAAAAGTATAATGTATTTTGCAGTTGCGTGTTTGGTTCCCGATGAATAAATTTACTCACCAGGAATGCAAGTTTGTGAGCATAATGGCAGGGTGCTGGTACTCTGACGGTAGTCGAACAATTATAATACATATGAGTCAATTTGAATGTCAAACGTTGTATCTTGTCGGGATCTAAACCGAGAGTATCATAAATGACACTATATGAAGTAGGTGTTATTGTGCCTTGTCGTACTTTCTGTGACACAATGAAGAAATCGTATTTGATTGGACTCGTTATAACATCATCAACTACTGTACCCGAACATGGATTATTTTTATTGAGGAAGAATCGCGTATTTAATCGTTTTGTCACGATTATGAAAGCCATTTTGTATCTATTTGGACCACCATACATTCCATCAAGTGCTTTTCTTATTTGTACGACTTCGCGCTCAAATACTTGTGAAACTTGACCCTCGCCAACACCATCACGGTAAATCACAATACGTGCTGGCAGAGATTTATTTTGTTGATAATATGACTGTGCAGCTTTGCGGATGTTATCACAGAGTTCGTTTGATAACTCCTCACCGTTTGTATGTGCATTTACTGCGCTGAAGTATTTTGTCATTTGTTTATTCATAGTTGCTACTGTAGCGCCTGTATTAACAAATGAATATTAATAAAAAAGTTGATTCAATAATTAATTCTAAAATGTATGCATGTTGTAAAAAAAAAAGATTATACTTTAATTTCTTCACTATTTTTTTTCGCTTTTCTTTTGAAATATAATTAACTCAGAAACAACATTAACGCTCCTGATTAATCGCCGCGGCTATATTGAATTCGTGATGTCATAAGCGAGAAATGATACAGTGAATTTATCATGTAGTTTGTAAATAAAGAGATATTTGACTAAAATGACATTTCAGATAACTTTAAGATATTTATGAAAATGAACTATCCTTTCTTCTGCTGATAATAAATAGCCATAAATAGCCATAAAAGATATATGAAATAAAGCTTATTCAGACAGAACACATGGTTTGACAACTGTTGAAAGAAGTAAAAAATATGCTTTTATTTATAACATTCAAAAGTAACTTTAGCTGCCGTCGTTTTAACGAATTTGATAAGTACGAGACAAATCACATCTGTACAATTAAACAAATAATAATGTAATTAAATAATAAAAAATTTCGTCGTCAGCTTGTCACTTAATATGAACAAAGACAAGGATAAGATGAGCAAAGATGAATAAGCTTCTAATTTTTATCGCAACGCTGTGTCGCTACTATCAACGCGAAGTTCTTAGCTGAGTAGTCAAGAGCCTTAAGAAATTATATACCGTGTTAAATCATTAATCATATTAAATATATTCGACAGAAATGTATCACATAATAACTGATTTATACAAGATTCGAAAGCTATAATTAAATGTTGCAATTTGATACTATTTTGTCCATGGCACTTTTTCTTGTAAACTTCAAAATTTTTAAAAATTTAATACTTACCGAAATCTTTGGTTTTAATTGTTGTATCATGACAAACATCAAATCCAACCATCATTAAACCGTCTAATGGAATATCTACAAACCATGGTGCTCCACCTAATTTACAGCTCATCTGTATTGCTATTTTCGTAGCTATTGACATAATATTCTTATGCATGATTGTCTTCAACAAGCAGACTTGTGATGGCACTGGTCGATCAACACAACATTTCTTTTTGATTGCTGAATAACGATCGCTACGATTGTTAGATACCACACAAAATACCAACTGTGGTATTTGTTTACTTAAAATATATTCCAATGTTTCGTTATATGTGCTTGGTCTATCATCACGGATAGAATGTATTTTTGGATTCTCTACATGAAATGACAGACCTTTTGTAACTTTATTTAAAGAAGTTATAAAAGGCTGAAATAAAATATTACTGATTAAAAACTGGATACATCTGATCAATGATATTTTAATCCAAATTTGCAAAATATTCAAAATATTATGTTGATTTATAAGGAATAAATTCTACAAAATTTTTTAATTTATATATATGCATAACAGCGTATTAATTAAACAACATCAATAATAACAATGTGTAAAGAATATAAATATAGATGTATGTAAGAAAACAAGACTTCTATAAGCTAAACTGTTCTACAAGAATAAAAATATAGATATATAAATGTTTGCATAGCTTTTCAATTATTTTTTTTCAATGTATAAAATTTACAAGGTGATTCAGAATCGTTTATCCTTAAAATGTTATATTTTTGAGTGAATTTTAAAAACGATTTTTCCTTTATCAAATTTTTATCAGAAACTTAGTTTTTGAAGGAAAAATATTTCGCGAATTACAGGTCGCATACAGAAGATAGGCAGGAGCAATAACTTACTGTATGACATTTTAAGGACAAACGGTTGTTCTGAATAATTTTACACGCACGCACGCACGCACGCACGCACGCATGCACGCACGCACGCACGCACGCACGCACGCACGCACGCACGCACGCACGCACGCCCATCGCCTCCTTCGAGTCACAATGCCAATGATTTTCAGCTATCAGAAATAACTAGATTTAGTGATCTGATGATTTCTGATAGCTGAGCAGTGTACCATTATTTTAAGAATTATTTAACATTTTTACGTGATCTGTTGGACAGATCTTACGTTTTGATATTTTTTTCAAGTTGTAGAAATATGAAAATATTTTATTTTTAAGCGAAAAGTACGAAATAAAGCTATACTTCGCAAGAAACTTGTTGTATGTCATTTCCCGCCTCCGATGTCACATGTCTTATCGCGAGAGAATCGAGCCTTAAAACAGAGTTATTAAATAATGCTTTTACTTTTATAATTTTTGTCATAGAAAACAAAACTGCTCTTATAAAACACAAAAGAAAACATACAAATAAAAAAAACAGTAGAATCGTGCTTTATGATTTTTTCATGGAATGACATGGAATAAGAAAAGCGCAATTATATCACTTGGCATTTTTCGACATAAAATAAGAATGTGCACGCATGCATATATGCGCACGCACGTACATGCAAATAATATTTTATAGTTCTCATAAAATATTCAATAAAATTTTGACGCACCGATACAGCATGCTTATCTCTTTCTGTTACTACGAGGACCCAATTACGTAATACTGGAGAAATTATACATTTCTTATTTTGCATTGTTCTTGTCCAATCGCCTTCCTCAGCTGTAACAGATACATTGTCGCTGAAGTAAATTTTCTCAGCGGGTAATTCACGTCCAGATATTTCAAGCAACTTGTTATCTAGTTGCAAGTTCCATTCAGACAATTCCTGCATGATAGCAGGTGTTTCACGAAGTCTATTATTAAACATCAATAATTTCTCAATACGCTTTCCAGGATTGAGCCGTGTTTCCGCGGCCAAACTTGACATGAGTCTAAAATTCTCTCTCATGGAGTCAGTTAAACCTGTAAATCATAGTATCATAGAAAAATAGGCAAATGAAAGATATAAACTTCATAAATATTTAGGATCAAAAAAAAAAAACAATTCAAATTAAATTCAACAATAAATCGAATAAATGTTAGAAAAGATAACAATATAATGTATACCTGTTGCACGACATAATTCGGGTACTAAATAAACGCGATCCATCTCTACGGCCTGTCGACCTCTTGTTTTGGATCTTGTTACGAGCATTGGTTGTCTAGAATCCGAAATTTTAATTCCATATTTTTTTCTGTAATAGTCTATGTATGTTATTGTAGTGCCATTTTTCATAGGAAATGAATCACTAGGAGTAGTCGAAAAATCTATGTCCTCGATGCGATACGTGTTATTATTATAATCGGTAAGAACCACCATACCAATCACAGTACTGGCAAAATTTTCCTGTATGCATATACATATATATTTATTCACTTCTATAATGCAAGAACATGAAAATATACTTATAATTGTAATAAAATCAGAAATAAGATAGAACAATAAATAAATGAATTTCATTTAAACTTTGTATTTTTTCATTGTAAAAATGCTATATTTCTGTAGCATAAGGAGAAAAAAAACTTTTTAGTAACACTGTAATTCAAATATCAATATTACAGTGAAGGAAATGCGAATGAAAATTTCTTTATAAAAAATTCCTGCAAAAATCTAATTCTAAAAAGCATAACTTACTCTGTATCTTTGCTTATCTTCCTGATAACAGTTACGCAGAATATCTACCAGAGTTTCTAACCGCATAACTTTATTTGTTATTTCGGCACACATTAATATATCTCGTTCATGTTGACGAATTGATGTTAAATATCCTGGCCACAATTCCAATTTGCATTCCGGTAAAACAATCTATATTAATGTAACAAAATGGTACTTTATTTTATACCAAACTTTTTATGGAACAATATATTTATGAATATATTTACTTTGTTAACAGGATCGAAATAATTGCGGCCGACCAATTTTAACTTCAGGTGATCGTAACATTTTCTCATAATTATATTAAAGAACTGGATATAATGAGCATCTCCCACTATCATATCCCCAACAATACGAACCGTGATTGTTATATGTTGTTCGTCTGATTGTCGAGTTGAAGTAAATACCATTCGCTAAAATAATTAAATTGTATTCAAACTTATAAAAAGAGAAAAAGAGACGTAATGACATCGATGAAATATATGTTGCATTGTACATTTATTACTTACATCGGGCAATCGACGACTCGTGTACATTACAGTACCATCAAAGATATATGCACCAATACTTTCTTTATGTAGTTTAAGTAAACCTTTACGTACAATTGTACGATCTTCTTCAGGTGCAAAATCAACATGATATTGGTAAATAGCCCAATCAGTCGCCTTAAGCAGTTTGAAATAATTTGTTTGTAATATTAATTTTTTACCAGATATACCTGAAAAATAGATAAAAAAATATAATTTTCATAAAATAATATGTAATATAATATATAATTTAGAACACATAGTAGATAATATATATTATTATTTTTGTTCACCTTTTTTGTTTTCTACATGACTCGGTTTTGTTACAAAGATATCTGGAGGTAAAATTCTTTTGCCACGTGCTGCACCTCTTCCAGATGACACAACGGCTACACTACTAGCACCTGTTGCACTAGTACTAGCATCCCCACTGGCACCAGCTATAAAAAATTACATTTCTCATTTAATACTCATAAATACTCAAAAATACATCTAAATATAATTAATGACATAAACTTCTAAAATATCACATTATAAGGAGATATCTCCAATTAAAAATTTTTAAATTATGAAACTG